TCCTTCCGCCTCAGCCTTCCAAGTAGCCGGAATTACAAGCATGCGCTACCATGCCCGGCTAATTTTTTGATTTTATTGTAGAGATGAGGTCTCACCTGCCCGACGGGTCTCGAACCCGCGGACTCAGGCAACCCACTCACCTCAGCCTCCCAAAGGCATAAAAGTCATTTTAAGCAGATAATAGCATGCTATGGTTTGAATGTGTCCCCCAAAAGTTCATGTGTTGGGAATGTAATCCCCGGTGCTGTGATGTGGGACCCAATTAGAGATGATTGAGTCTCTCCAAAAAAAAAGAAATGATTGGATAAATAATGTAGTTATTACGGTAGCTGGTTAGTTATCGCAAGAGTGAGTTATTATAAAGCAAGTCTGGCCCCTGGTGCCTCTCTCTGTCTTGGACACTTGCTTGCCTTCTACCATGTTATGATGCAGCACAAAGGCCCTCCTCGGCTGCTGAAAACGTGCTCTTGGACTTCTGAGCCCCAGAACTCTGAGAGATAAATGTAATTTCTTTGTAAATTACCCATCTGTGGTATTCTGTTACTGCAATAGAAAATGTACTAAAGACAGCATATGCTAAGTCACAAGGATTTTAAACTGCCTGGTGTCTTCAGGGAATCTCTGGAATTCTGAGTGACTGGAAGGTAAGATATGTGGGATGTAGGGAGAGAACAGAAGTAGAAAGGGAGGAGGGTATTAATCCAGGCAGAACAGTTCTGTTGAGGCCTGATTGTAAAAGGTCTTGTATTCCAAACTAAGCTTTTGAACTTTGTGCCACAGCTAATAAGTCATCAAAAATTGTTAAGTAGTAAAAATCAATTCAATCAATATTTTAGGAAGTGCTCTGATGATACTGTGGAAAATAAACCAAAGCATGAGAAATTAAAGATATCACAGTACAAAAAAAATTGTTAAACACTTTCTTTTAAAAAAGGTGACAGATTCAGTTTTATCCTTTTATGTCACCACCTAGTCATTTTACAGAGGAGTAGTTCTGTAGCAAATACTATGCCTTGTTTGATTCAGAAGGAAGAAGATTGTCCTTACCCACATATCAATTCAATCATACCCATAATTAACTGCAGCCCAACTACAGGGTCTACCTTTGAAATATCTCCAAATCTGTCTCCGCTCCATCATTATCGCTACTGTTTATAATCCAGGTTGTTAGCATTTCTCAACATTTCAGGGCTGGAGTGTTGCAAAGGTCTTCAAAATGGCATCCACAACGAGGTCTAGAGCCTGCTCACTCTGACCTTTCTATAGATATAGACTAGGTTGAGGCGACCTTCCAATACTTTTATCTCCTCACAGCTCTCCTTGATGTCATGGAACTGAGTATCTGCCCTAAAGACCCAAGCGATTTGTATTTGTAGAAAATTTAAAACTTCAATATAGTGTGAAGAAAACAGTGATATTTTGAACTACACCTGACTAGAACACTATTACTTCATTCTCATCATGAATTTGGGACATACAATTCTTCTACTAGGATAATGAGCACAGTAAAGTATACTCAATAAAAACTATTACTCATGTTCTGCCATTCTGTGAACCTCAAAGAAAAATATTTCAGGACCCCCCAAACTAATGACCTTTGCTTCCTGTGGTGATACTACCTAAACACAACTTTAAGTCAGTTTTGAGTTAAGGTTTAGCAGGTGTAGCCATATATATCACTAGATTCTGGAAATCTGGTTGGTCTTGATGAGGTATTTGAAATCACAAATCGCACTTAAAGGGCTCAATAATCTTGTATTGCTCTGTAAACTCTTTGTGTGTGGGAGTCTGACTACATCACTTAAGAGCTAGGCATCAGCTGGGCTCAGTGGCTCAGCCTGTAATCCCGCGCCTTTGGGAGGCTGAGGTGAGTGGATTGCCTGAGCCCGTGGGTTCGAGACCCGCCTGGGCAGTGAGACCTCATCTCTACAATAAATAAAAAAATCAGCTGGGCGTGGTAGCGCACGCTTGTAATTCCGGCTACTCGGAAGGCTGAGGCGGACGGATCGCTGGAGCCCAGCAGGTCGAGGCTGCGGTGGCCAGAAGCAGCCACTGCACTCCAGTCTGGGCGACAGAGTGAGACGCCGACTAAAATAAATAAATAAATAGCCTTGTTTCTCTAGTCCTTCAATTTATGCCAAAATTGGTCCTGTTGACTTGTAGCTCAAGTTCAGAGAGCTCATCTGTTGCCTTCAGAGGTCAAATTGGCAGAATAATATATTCAAGGGAGTAAATCTTCAAAAAAAAAAAGATTTAAAGCATTCTAAACTAACAGTTTTTCTCTCTAATTCTTTTATCACCCTTCACAAGACCTATACTAGTTACCATAGAAACATGTTTTCATGCCCATTGGAAGAGAAAAAATATGTTAATGGAATGTTAATTAGTTATTTGTCCTTAAATGTTGCTTCTTTCAGCAAAATAATCTATGCCAAAAATCTGCGGACACACAAATGCATACTCTGTTCTATATCATCGGAGTCACAAAGAAGAAAGATTTATTTGTTAAAATGTTTTACATAATCAAAATTCTTAACATGTTTCTAGAAAAATATAGCCAATTGTTTGTAGTAAGCCTGGGTTCACATGTAAATTTTGCCAGTTACTAGCAATGATAACAAGGGGCAATTACTTTTCATTTAAAATAGAATTGGTTTTTTTTTTGAGTTGGAGTCTCACTCTGTCACCCAGGCTAAGGTGCCATGGCACTGTCACAGCTCACTGCAGCCTCTGACTCTGGGTTCAAGTGATCCTTCCACTTCAGCCTCCTGAGGAGCTGGTACTACCAGTACATGCCACCATACTTGGCTTTTTTTTTTTTTTTTTTTTTTTTAGAGAGATGTGGTCTCTCCTAGGCTGGTCTTGAACTCCTGGGCTCAAACAATTCTCCTGCCTCAGCCTCCCAAAGTGCTGGGATTAAAGAAATGAACCACCATGCCCAGCCAGAATTTTTTTTTTTTTTTTGAGATAGAGTCTCACTCTGTCACCCAGGCTGGTGTGCAGTGGCACACTCACGGCTACCTGCTGGGCTGAGGCGATCCTTCTGACTCAGCCTTCCAAATAGCTGAAACTACAGGTGCATGCTACCACACCCAGCTTATTTATTTATTTATTTATTTGTTTGTTTGTTTATTTATTTATTTATTTATTGTAGCGATGAGGTCTCACCAAGTTGCCCAGGTTGTTCTCGAACCCATAGACTCAGGCAGTCCCCTCACCTTGACCTCCCAATGTGCTGGGATTACAGGCTTGAGTCACTGTGCCCGGCCCAGGAATTTTTTTAAACCTACCTTACAAGATTCTAGTGAGGAGAAAATTAATTCATGTAAAAGTTCTTACAATAGTATCTGACAAGCATAAGTTAAGTACTGAAAACTTTTCAGGTACGATTACTATTACTTTTTTTTTTAACTTTCTTTTATGTTTTCTTTGTTCTGTTTGTGGCATCACATTGACCTTACAGTAGTTTCTCAGATAATTGGATGAAAGAATGAATAATTGAATGAATCCGGGAGGCCACATGGCATGATGAAAAGTGAATAGATTTTGGAGCCAGAAAGATCTGGACATATGTTAGTAGCTATTTTGTTTCTTCATTTATAAAATAGGAGTGATAACTCATCTTGTGGGCATGTTGTTATAACATTGGTGTCCGCCCATCTCGAGCACAATAAACTTTGGGAAAGTACTTTGCACATGGAAGTGGGATAATGGTTAATGGCACATATGTGTGCTCCAGAGAGATTGACAGTAAGAATAGAAACAAAGAGGCAGAAAAAAATAATACTTTCTATTTTTTGAGTGGCAACTTATGCATTTTTCTAAAATGTTACCATGCATTGTTCTCTGCTTTTTGACAAAAAGAGGCCATAGAAAGTATTTGCCTCAAACACTAGAATAACTAGATATATGGTATGTCAGTTTTAACTTTTTTAGCTTTTTTTTTTTTTTTTTTTTTGAGTCGGAGTCTCACTCTGTCGCCCAGACTGGAGTGCAGTGGCCGCTCCCGGCCACCGCAGCCTCAACCTGCTGGGCTCCGGCGATCCTTCCACCTCAGCTTTCCAAGTAGCTGGAATTACAGGCGCGCACTACCACACCCAGCTCATTTTGATTTATTGTAGAGATGAGGTCTCACCAAGTTACCCAGGCGGGTCTCGAACCCGTGGACTCAGGCAATCCACTCACTTCAGCCTCCCAAAGGTGCGGGATTACAGGCCTAGCCACTGAGCCTGGTTACTTTTTCTGCTTTTTAAAAGAGGTTAAATATTTACTTCTGAACTATCTGAAAAAATTTAGATTCAGATTTCATGAAATAAAAGTTATAGTAATTATGTCTTTCTTGCAGACTTTATATTCAAAGGCAGATGACCAAAACTAGATTATAAAACACCAATAAAATGATATTTGTGTTGTAATTTAGTTTACAAAATGCTTTCATACCCATTATCTATTCAGTTCTCACAACCAGTCTGCAAGTTCGATTATTTATCCCACTGTGTGAATACTGAGGTTCAGAGAGGTTAAGTGGTTTGTGTAAAATTATTCATATAGTTTACAAATAGCAAAAGTAGGACTCTTTTGCATATTTTCTAACAAGAATTCTAGGACAATTATCTCTATAGATTGGTTTCAGGAGATGTATTTATACTTCAGAAAATGTGACTGAGAAACTACCCATTAGTTTTCAGCTTCTTGACTATGACTGTTTACATTATAACCCAGTTAATATACACATAAATATGTACACACATTCCTATATAATATGACAATAGCTGTCCTTTTTACATGTAGTGCAACACTAGTGTTTTGTATTCTAACCTATTTTATTACATTATTAAACAGTGATGGTTGTAACGTACTAAACTCATGTCACAATCTATCAATGGATGACAAGTTCCAATTTGAAAAATACTGTAATAGGGTAAGGCGGGAATAAAAAGCTTTGAATAGATTCTAGCAGAAAACTAAAGACAAATACGAAAGTAAAAATAATGTGAGATATCTGCAAACAAAAGATATTTCAGATTGTAATTAATATAATTCACAATTGCTTTGCATTTGTTTTCCTAAATAGTCCATGTAAAAATAATAATAATAATATGAGGTAGAAGTGATAATGCCCATAAAAGAGGTAAAGAAAACGTATCAAAAGAGTTAGGAAGAAAAGGATTATATTGATCTGAAAGAATAAATTTACAAATAAGCTGTTTCTAACATCCTAATTATTAAGAAGGGGGCTTAAGAGTTGGTTTTTGAAGGATGAGTAAAATTACAACATAGTAGTAATGTCTATATGTTTGTCTCTTACTTGAGTATCATCATAATAGCAGCTATAATTCATTTATTCAATAACTATTGAGCACTTACCATGCAGGCACTATGTGGTAGGTACTATCCCAGGCGTAGAGGTCAAATTAGGTGAAAATTTCTGCCCTTGAGGGATTTACATTCCAGTGATATGAGACATAAATAAACAAAATAAATAAGCAAATTATGCAGTATGTTAGTAGGTGGTAGGTACTAAGGTGAAAAATAAAGCAGAGACAGAGGACAGGGAACGCCATGTGAGAGTTGTAGTATGAAATGGAAACTTCACAGAGACAGTGACATTTGAGTCAAGGTTGAAAGAAGATGGGAGAACTAGCCCTATGAATATCTGAGGAAAGAGCATTCCAGGACAAGGGAATAGCAAGTGTAAAGGCCCTAAGTCAGGAACTACGGCAAGGGGACCAGAATGAATGAGGGGGACAGTGATGGAGAGTGAAGACAGAGGATAATGTAGATTAGCTCACATGGAGCTTTGAAGGCAGTTTTAAGGACTGTCTTTTCTTCCTAGTGAGGTGGGAAACCACTGAAAGGTTTTGGACTGAGAGGATAGGTTTTATTTAGATTTATTATAAGTGATGTAACAGCTCAATTGAGAATAAACTCTAATAAGTCATGGAGATAGCAGAGAAACCAGTTAGGAGGCGATTTCAGTAATTCAGATGAAAGATGAAGGTGGTGGCAGTAGAAGCAGTAAAATCTGACCTGATCCAGGATACATTGTGGCGATCAGAGCCAAGAGGATTCCCCACCATACTGGATGTGAAGAGTGAGGGAAAGAGGAGTGAAGAATGACTACAAGGTTTGGCTTGAGTAACAGAAAGAATGGAATGGCATTAACTGAGATGAAAAGCTGTGGTTGGGGTCTATTTGGGTGTGAAGAGCAGGACATGGTATTAGACATGTTATATCTCAGAAGTAAATTAGTCACCCAAATAGAGATGTTGATTGGACAGTTGGATATAGGTCTGGGATTCAAAGGAATGACCCAGGCTGGAGATACAACTTTGGAGTTTGTGGGATATGGGTGGTAGTTAAAGTCACAAGAGTGGATGAGCTCTCCACAGAAGTGTATAGATAAAAGGGAGAGGATGTCCAAGGACCAGACCTCAGGTTACTCCTATTTTACAAGGTTAGGAGCAAAGAAGACTGAGAAGGAATGGCCAGTTAGGGAGGAGAAAACCAATGAAATTGGTATTAAGTATCAAGGAAAAGGGTGTGATTCACTATATTAAATATAATTGATGGGTCAACTACTATGAAGACTGAGAATTGATACTTTCTAGGAAGTTCAACATATGATCTTTTGAATCCAGTTCTCTAGGTTAATACTGGCTCTGCCACTGTGTGATGGAGCAGAAATCCTTAAGCTGTCTTTGTCTCACTCTCCTCATCCGCAAAATAGAGAGAACACAGTCAATCTTATAAGATTATTATGAGGACTATATTCGTTAGTATATTACTTTATATGCTATATAGTAAGCTCTGTGCTGGTGAGAGGTGGTAGTGGTAGCAATAGTACTAATACTAATAGTGGTAGTGACAATAGTATTTCCAGGATCCTTGAGAGGCTCTCATTTTATGGATGAGAAAGTTGAAGCTCAATGAAACTAATTAATATGGTCAAGGTTAAACAGCTCAAGACAGAGGTTCAACAGCAAAGTTAATCGCCTCCAAAAACCTTAATCTTTCTGTACACTGTCAATCAATATTTTCTGGTTACACTCTTAAAGAGACTCTTATCCCATTAAAAAGTGGGAAAGCATGGGATTGGAAGTCCTGGGATCTTTAGCTTAAATGAAAAGGAAAAAAAAGAATGTTGAGTACCATTCTAATGATCGACCTGCTCAAATGCTATTAATATTTCCAAGGCCACTGTAGGGATTTAGGTAATATAATTTTAGTTCAAAATTTAACAAAATTTAGAAAGATGTATGTTGTTAATTTTCCTTGCCTACTCTTACTTTAAAATTAGAAAGCAAAGGACAAGTTTTTCACAAAATGGAAAAGCTTTGAGTTTCAGAGATGTATATGTATATGTGTGTATATTACATATATAGAAATTCCAAATAGAAACTCTAAGAAACTCAAAACCTTTAATATATTGTGTAAAAGCAATGAAAATATACTGCTCACCCATCTGGTCATCATATCAAACAATATGGACAAATATTGAGGCACTCAGAGATGAATCTCTTCCTTCCCTAAACATCTTTCCTACCCTAAACAAGTAGTGTAGACTGGTTGAAAAGAGATTCCAGGCTTCCTTAAGACATTTTTTAGAAAGTTTGCATCTCCCATCTCAGTCTATTCCTCAGTCCACTGTATTCCACATTAGTATCTGACAATAATATCTGACAATATATTTTTTTTTTACTTTCCACTCTTGCTTCTATTAATGACACCTAACTGCTAATCTTTCACATATTTCCTGTGAAATGAGTTGGCAGTGTATCACACACACACACACACACACACACACACACACACACACACAAAAACTTCCCAAGTAGGATTGTATGAATATTTCTTGCCCACCCTGTAGTAAAAAATTTCTATTAATGGACATGTAATACATAGACAATATCACAGTTAAAAAAACAGCTGAGTCAAATTACCCAAGTCCGAACGCTTCCTACGCTACTTACTAGATATGTGACACTGGCAAGTTTCTCAAGTTTCTGTGTCAGTTTCAACTAAACAACAAAATGAGAATAAATATCTCATAGGTTTCATGTGAGCATTGAATAATATATAACAAAGGCTCAAAACAGATCCTAACACAGAGAAAGTATTCAATCTGTGTTAACTTTCATAATAGCGATAAAGATGATAATTAAGATGGGGATAACGGTGGTGGGAGTAATGCTTCAGACAACAATAAAGATGGAAAATCAGATCTCTACCACCAACTGGCTGGGAAACCTGAGGTAAATCTTTTAAACTCCTGGGGCCTGTTTTATCTTCTGCAAAATAAGCAATTTGAGTTCTGTTAGAAAAAAAGAGAATATGTTTTTAAGTAGTTAATTTCAAATGGTTGTATTAGAAATTTTCTATGTTAAATAAGTGACTCAAAGGAGAAATGAGATCATTAAGAAAAAAATCAAAAAAAAAGAAAAGAAAAGAAAAAAAGCTCTGCTACCTAAAACACCTCTAACTTTTGTTTTGTTTTTATAGCTTCCAGCAAGAAGTGCATTCCTGCTCCTATTATTATTGCTTCCATCTCCTTTTTGACCAGTGTCATCATCTCTTCCAAAAGTGGAATATAAAGGAATCTTGTGGCTCCTTTTAAAAAAACAATTTTTAAAATAAAAACATTTTATTGGTCTTTTGACTAGAAATGGGAATTTATTTTCCAGTTATTTCTTTCCAAGTGTTTCATCTTTCTGCTGAAACAAGTGCATGGCCTCTTCTTTGCTAATTCTGTTTTGCCTTCCCTGTACCCCTCATCTTATTTCGACCAGGACACCCTAAATATCCCTGCAGAAATCACTCTGCCCAGTTAGCAATGGATGCAGGACTGGCTCAGCCCACTTTCTGTGAGTTGGCTTGTAACTCAGGTCATAAACAATCAGTATATATTTTTCTCAATGGACACAGAAATTCATGCTGGAATAGAAAATAATCCAATCAGAGCCTGTGATATACAATCAGGGTACATTTCTGGAATTGGTACTGGGAGTAGAATGGGAGCCTCTTTTTCCAATGGAGATCAGTGAAACAGGGTATGAGCTTACAGCTGCTAGCAGCTCTCTTGCCACCAAGAGAGGAGACCCTACCTCCCTGAGAAAGGAGCTAACACAATAGAAAAGCTGAGAAATGAAAATAAACCCAATCTTTATGAAAGTGTATAAGTGTCTAGGTTCAACTTTGCATGAAGCTTTTTCATTACCTAATCTATTGCATAAATCAATAAATTACATTTTTGTTTACATCATTTGAATTAGATTTTCTATCTTAAGCATCAAGCAACTGAACGAGTTCTAAATGAATACAAGGACTCTCCCTTTTTTTATTTAGTGATTCTAAATAAAAACAAATCAAAGAAGATCAAGTTAGAAAGCAAAGGACAAGTTTTTCACAAAATGGAAAAGCTTTGAGCTTCAGAGATGTGAATTTTATTCAGAAGTTTTTATCAGCATTCAAGATCAAACCAGTGTGGCCTCAGATGGAAAAAAACAGAAAGTTGAGAAATAAAAGAGAAAGTTAATGAAAGATATTAGTAATATATCTCATTCACTGCCAGTAACAAATGTTGCAGTATGTTTCTAAGATATTATAAAAGTTAAAATTTAAATTTACATGTCAATTTGTAGAAGACAATGGAAAAATGGATTGTAAGTCTTCATAACAAATTTAGATCTTAAGATAATATGTGGAATTGTGTTTAGGTAAAGGAGAGAATATGGGAGAGAAAACAATTGATTACCAAGCAAATATCAAAGCTATATTGAGTTCCCATTATGTACAAACTCTGAGATGCAAAAAAGTATTAACTATTGAATTTCACAGCTGGAAATTCTCTAACTCTTCCCTCAGGTAGTATATGATTTAGGTGGGAGCATAGAAGGTAACATAGTGAGACCTTGTCTCCACAAAATATCAAAAAATTAGCTGGACATGGTGGTGTGTCCCTTTAGTTCCAGCTACTCTGGAGGCTGAGAAAGGTAGATCACTTAGACCCAGAAGGATGATGCTGTGGTGAACCATGATCGTGCCACTGCATTGCAGCCTGAGTGACAAAGTGAAACCCTAATTCAAAAAAAATTTTAAAAAGAAAAAAAAAGAAACAAAGAAAAAGGACACAAATTACCACATTAAGAATGAAAAAGATGTCACTACTGACCCCACAGACATTAAAATGATAATGAGAGAACATATGAACAACTAACTAACTCTGTACACATAAATTCAACAACCTAAATGAAAGACAATCTACAATAACTCACCCAAGAAGACGTAGAAAACTTGAATAAACCTATACCTTTTTAAGACATTGCTTCTATAGTTTAACAGCTTCTAGAATAAAATATTCAAGGCCCAGATGGTTTTACTGGTGAATTTACATTTGTAAAAGAATTAAAAACAATTCTGCATACTATCTTCTAGAAAATATAAAATACTTCTGAAATGATTCTATAAAGCCACCATTGTGGCTTTTATTTTTGAAAAGGAAAGCTACAGAACAATATCCCTTAAGAAAATAGACACAAACATCCTCAACAAAATATTAGCAAATCCAATTCAACAATACATTTTTTTAAATGTCACCACTAATTTTAGGTTTTTCCCATAAATGCAAGGCTGGTTCACATCCTTCAAAAGTCAGACTAAACAAGAAAAACCATATGATCATATAAGTAGATAAAGAAAAGGCATTTTTAAATATTCAATATACATTAGAATAAAAACTCTCAGCAAACTAGAAATATAAGAAAGTTTCCTCAAGCATAGAGGATTCTTATAAAAACCTACAGCTAAAATTATAAAAGACTATATGCCACTCCCCACCAAGATCAGAAACTAGGCAAGGATGTCACTTTCACTAGTCCTATTCAATATCGTACTAAAAATCCTAGAAAGTGATGAAGGACAAGAAAAATGTATTCAAATTAAGAAGGAAGAAATCAACTACCACTATTTGCAGACAACATGATTGTCTACATACAAAATCCCATGGAGTCTACACAAAAACTTTTAGAACTACAAGTAAGTTCAGCAGATACAGTGTCAACATGCAAATATCCACTGTATTTCTATTCACTAGGAATGAACAAAGAAACCAATAATTTTATAGGTTTTATTTATTTATTTATTTTGAGTTGGAGTCTCATTCTTGTCGCCCAGACTGGAGTGCAGTGGCACACTCCCGGCCACCGCAACCTCAACCTGCTGGACTCTGGTAATCCATCTGCCTCAGCCTTCCAAGTAGCTGGAACTATAGGCGCGCGCTACCACACCCAGCTAATTTTTTATTTATTGTAGAGATGAGGTCTCGCCAAGTTGCCCAGGCAGGTCTTGAACCCACAGGCTCAGACAATCCACTCACCTCAGCCTCCCAAAGCGTGGGAATACAGGCTGAGCCACCGAGCCCGGCTTATAGGTATTATTTATGATACTTTCTCAATAAAATACTTAGTTATAAATTTAAGAAAATGTGTGCACAGGCTGTATGCTAAGATTCAAAAACTATAAAATTCTTAAGTAAAACAAATCAAAGAAAACCTAAATAAATGTTGAGATAAATCTTGTCCATGGATTTAAAAACTCTATATAGTAAAGATGTCAATTCAAAATCTGTCCATGGATTGGAAGACTCTATGTGATTAAGATATCAATTGTTCCCAAACTGATCCGCAGAATTAATGCATTCACATCCAAAATGCCATCCGGATTCTTTACAGATACACAAAAATGAATTCTAAAAACCATACAAGAATGTAAAGCACCAAGAACAGACAACATTTTTAAAGGAACAAAACTGGGGAACTCATACTATCAAATATTAAATTATACTATAAAACTATAGTAATAAAAACAGTGTATAGACCAACATAATAGAATGGAAAATCTAAAAATAGGCCCACAAATGTGGTCAATTGATTTTTAACAAAGAAACAAAGATAATTTAATAGAAAAAGTTTAGGTTTTTGTCAACAAATGATGCTGGAACAACTGGCTATTCATATTCAAAAATATAAATTTTGATCTATATGTCATGTCATAAACAATAATTAACTTAAAATGGAAAATAGCCATAAAGATAAAATATAATGCCATAAACTCTTAGAAGGAAATATAGGAGAAAATCTTGTAACTTTTGGTTAGTCAATTATTTCTTTAATATGACACCAAGAAACAGATTCATTGAAAATATGATAAATTGGACTTCATTCAAATTTAAAATTTTTGTGTTCTTCAAAGATGCTTTAAACAGAATGAAAAGACAACTGGTAATCTGAAAGAAAATATTGCAGAGCACACTCTGACAAATGACTTGGATCCTTGTAGTGTTAGAACATTCAGGAACTTGACTGTGGAAGTGAAACATAAACTTATATGAAATTGCAAAGAACCTAATATGTACACAAATGAATATAAGCAAATCTAGAGAAATCTGAATAAATTGGTAGATTACATAAAAGTCAATATTCTGGATATAAAATACTATAGATTTGCAAAATGTTACCTCAGGAGATTCTAGGAAAAGTATTCAAAAATCATATGTGCAAAGTTGGTTTGGGAAAACTAAGACATGATGGAAGAGGGGATTGGCAGCTTAAGATGAGACATTTTATTCATAACTTTTTGAGGTATGGTAAGCCATCTAGAAGGTTAGTTAGAGATACATACTTGGAGTGCAGAAAAAAATTACGGAATAACAGTTATGTATTTGGGGTACATCAACAATCAAGTGGTAATACAACTATGAAGTTGTATGAAATCTCCCAGGGAGCATATATAGAGTAAAAAGAAAGCTAAACATAGAAACCTAGAAAACATAAATATTTAACAGACATATAAATAAAGAATAGTCCATATAGAAATTGAAGGAATGTACAAAAAGAGGATCCAACAGAATCATACATTGCTAAGAAAATATAGTTTAAAATTAAAAAAAGATCAACAATTTCAAATGCCTCAAATAGATAAACACTGTACATTACTTATTATATTTTCATTACAATGCTATTGGTGATGATAGGGAGCCATTTTGTAAGAGGCGAGAATATGTGCAGAAGCTAGATTACAAATACTGAAAAATTAATGAGAAAACAAAGTAGAGGCAGTGCATGTACACTACTCAATTGGAAAGTGTGACTGTGAAGAGGTGGCTATAGGGTAAAAAAGGTGATTGTTTTCAGGTTTGCTTGATTTAAAAAAAAAATGCAATATTCTCAAGTGTTGGTGAATTGTTGCAATTATAATTGAACCAGGCAGGTTATTCTAGGAAAGAATCATGAAGTATGGAGTTTTTAAGTGGAGAACCTTAGATAAAAGAGGGGGTAAGCTTTAGAATAAAGGGGGGAAAAAAGCATCCGATGTAAAAGAAACTATCAAGCGAGAGCTATATGCAGATCAGTTTGGAGATATCATTGACCTTTCACTCATTCTCCACCATCCTCAATTCAGCAATCAAACATGTCAAATCAGCCTTCCTGGTTCTCTGCCACCACCCTGATTCCAAGACCCATGCTAGGAAAATTTTCTTTCTGCTTGAGGTTCAGTCCTGACTATTGATTTGATGACAACGCTGACTTTAGTCTAGAAGGATTTAAGAGTTCAAGTTGATTATCTAGTGGGTTCACTATAACGTCAATATTGC